AAAAAAAAAAAATAGTCTTTCTCTAGAAGCCTACATATATTCCTTTCTGTAATCAAAACTCATTGAAAAATTCATAGGTCCCTTTCCTATTTAGGCATGATGGAAATTGTGTTGAAATGAATGGAACTGTGTCTCTTAATAATAAAACAACATTTAAATGTATATGTAAACCTGGTTATAATGGGCCACAATGTGAATTAATAAGTGATATGTGTATTAATATAAAATGTGAAAATAAAGGTGTTTGTATATCATCTCATCTATCATGGAGATGTCATTGTCTTGATTCCTCACTTTATTCTGGAAAATATTGTGAAAAAATAAGTACATCATTAATAATAAAACAAATATTAAGTAAATCATTTGCATCAGTAGCTATTGTAGCTATTATTGCCGTTTTTTTATTTGTTATTATAATGGATATATTGAAATATGTATTTAAAATTGATCCAGTTGATCGAGAACGACGATTAATGAAATTAAAACAAAAGAAAAAATATTTAAATAAAAATAGAAAAAAGCCACGTAAAAAAGTTGCTTTAAAAGTTTTTTATATATCTTAAGAAAAATAAATTAAAATATACTATATTTCATAAATGTGTTTTGAACAATATTGTATGACATTGATTTTCGAAGGATGTATATAACATTTTGTTTTGATAATAAAATTGTATTTATTAATGAATGTTTGGCATTCAGAAATTTTGTAAAATCGAATGATATACCATTGTTGAGATGAATTTTAGAATTGAATTTAAAATGATCTTGCGAAAGAACGCGTTTCAACAGAATGTTAAAAGCGTCTTTAGGACGTGTTCCAAAAAAAATACGAGTTCAGAATACTTTTTATTATTTGAAAACCATGTTCTCGATTATTCTTGTTTATAAACATTTTTTCATGGATAAATGAGAGAATTTGAAATATAACTTCCGTAATAAATCTGATAATTGCTGAACAGACAACTTTATTTTCGACTGTTGTTAAGTATTTTTAGCAAGTATCACAAATACCGATAACACGATATTTTCATATATTTTATTAATTGATATGAATGAAAACTTCTGATAAGCTTAACAGTAACGAAGAGTTTAGAAATCCTTACAATCATCTAAAGCAATTGAAATGGCACATTGTTTTCATGTTGTATTGGCAAGACAACATCCGAACTGCATCTACTTATTATTCAGCTTTTATTAAAATTTACAAAAGTTTTCCTTGTTAAGAAATATTCTAAAAGTTTTCTCATTCTTTTGATTCTTTTGATTTTTGTATTATTCTAATCATTATTATCTATGTCTATTACTTTTGAGTTTTCTATTTTTATTTCTTTTCTTGAATTAAAATCTAGGTTATGCATTTCTCACAAAGTGTTTCTTTTTTACAATATATCAATTATGGCCATGCCACTAGATGTTATTTTATAATAATTTTAACAAAAAACTCTCAATAATGTCCATTCGATACAAGAACTGTCATATATATTGATTTCATGTTGTAAAAATCTGTAGCCACTTTTCCATAATTGTGCAAATATTTTTTGATGCATCATTGCATGATAAATATTCTTATTCCACCAATGAGATTCAAATGATATTTGATAAGGTAATATAATTTGATTTGTTTGACTGAATAAATCAGCAAAAACAGAATATTCGGATCCTTCAACATCCATTTTTAAAATATGTATATGAGTATGTTTATTCTTTTGAACTATATCTCGGAAACTTTTAAAAACTAATTCATTTTTATTCATTAAATGATCACTATTTTCAGTAAACGGATTAATGCTCTCCTGTAACTTTGCATCTTTTCCAATACATATTGGATGAAACCAAACACGATTAATAGATTGGAGCGGCCGTGAACTAGTACAATCGTATGTATGAATTTCGCATAAAGTTTGATTAGACATTTCTTGTTCAAAGTCAAATATGTTATTAGAACCCAAACTATATATAACACATTTATCCAAAAGATTAAGATTTTTAATACCACATAGTATCTTTCCTGAATCCGTTTTATTACCATAGCGTTGTAGACCATCTTGAGAATGACAAGGTAATGGTAAAGAGATCGGATAGGCCAACTGAACAATATAATCTTTTTGGTTTTCAAATGAGCGAATAAAATTCATTAATGTATCATATGTATTTGTTAATTGAGTTTCACTCCATTCAACCCATTTTTGTTCCAAATCAAAGATAATACTCTTATTAAAATTTAATAAGAATGGATTTGAAGAACACCATTCAAGGTTAGGAGAAAGAGAAGAATATAATTGACGGGTAGTGTTTATAGATATTGCATTTGAATATTTATCATTTTTAATAAGTTTATTATTTTCAGTGATAGTTTTAATATACTCCAATTCATTGTAGTTGGTGTATAATCTAGTAATAATGGAACTACTAACTATTATGCAGAAGATAAAAATAACAATCGTTGAAACATGAATACGTGGCATTAATCCAGAAAAGGACATATAAAACACCTGCGAAAAGTCGAATTCAACAATAATATATTATCTGTAAAAACAAAACTAAAGAAGACCTATGAGGAATTGAATGTTGTGTTTACATATGTCATTCGGTATGATAGTGTACTGTGTCCTCTGAGCACTAGCAGTCACGTCAGTTTCTCTGCATAGATGCCATTATAGTTACATCAGTCAAAAAGTTCTTGCAACTGCAAAAAAAAACGATTTATTAAGGCCCCTCAAAAAAAGTCACTTTTCGTTAGAATGATCGAAATTAAGATAAATACATAGGAAGATAGTCCATGATCTGATCTTTCATAAATGACAAAAATTTTTACTTGGCATCTCGTTTTTTTTTCAAAACTTTTTGAAGATATTTGTCGTCCCCTATTCGAAGAATATGCCATTTTCAGAAAAAGCAGAAAAATCTTTTTCGCTTTTTCTCCGTTTACAGTTTCTTGAGCGCGCAATCCAAATTTCTCTGTCGATGCTCATTCAATATATTTAATTCTTTTTTGTTTGAAAGAGCACGTCAAGACACAGTGTAGTACAGAACCTTTTCTTTTTATTTAAGCTTTTTTTTTATTATATATACAGACACTTATATAACTTGACACCCATTTTTTAAGGACTTTTTGAATCATTGAACTTTGGATTCATTTTCTTCCTTTAAAAAATAAGAATTTAAAAAAAAAAGTTCTGTACTGTAGTATATCCAGACATGCTCTTTCATTTGCTTAAACAAGTATCTGAAACTCAATTTCAGCTATTAGTTTATGTTTTAAAACATATTGCCATTTTAAGTATAAAACTATTGGTGAATATCTCTGATAAATACAGATGAATGGGTTTTTTCTCAAGAAATACTCTGAGGTAAAGTATTGAAATTTCTAACATTTGAATATTTGAAAGGCTATTATATGAGTGAGTGAATTTTCTAAAACAAAAGTGCAATTCGAGATGTAAACTTCAGTTGAAATTTGAGTCATTTTCAAATCTTATCATAAAATCTACACTATTTGGAATTGTAAAAGTTTTCAATTTCTGCAATGCTTATCACATCGAAAATTGCTACTTGTGAAGATGTTCATCACTATAAAAAGCCACTTCAACTACGACTCGTTTAACAAAGTTTGAGCATGAACTCTTCCCGTACCTTTACCTTTAGATTTCAAATAAAACATGCAATGTTCTTTCGTTGTAGCTCTGTACATTCGTTCTACTCAGCGATGTGTGACTGATGACGAAACAAAAATATCATTCATTTTTTTATAACAAGAAGAGAAGAAATGAAAGAAAATGCTCGAAGGAATGATGACGAAAATTGAATTTCTGTGTGGATGTATCATACGTGACTCTCGCAGCAAAACAACGTCAGGTGAAAGTCAAGTGAAAAATTTGAGTGATAAAAATTTTATAATCCTATGTGTATAATCGAAACTGTAATCAACATCAATCGATTATTAGAACCTTTTAATTGATTGATATTGATTATAATTTTGATATAAATTGGATTTTGTTTTACAATAGTCATAATGAAAATCTTCATATATTTGGCTTCAACCTAATTTCGATTGATTGTTTTTATACTGTTATACTACTTTGTAAACGATAAGACCCAATGAAACCAAACAGAGATCTCTCTCATGTAAAGACGCCAGAAAAAATGTATTAGAATCAGATTTTTTCCGTCTTTTTTTTACATTATAATTATCTATTGCAACTGGAACTAAAAGAACGAAAAAAAAATGTTTACTTTTATATAATAAGACTTACTGTTGAAACTTGTTGCTAAAATCGATGATTTTTTAAAAAACAAAAAAAATCATTTATTCATCATAATTAATCGCCAAGTGTCGCAATTTTGATGACAAGGGTAGGGTTAAAACATCAACTGAGAAGACATCGGAGGTGCTCTAGAAACCTAGAAATTCAATACTTAAACAAATGGATAATTTGTATGTAGCTGATGCAATCAGTCATATTCACTTGTTTATGTCTGAACAATCAAATAATAAAATAATTGCATGATCAACAGATATACCATATAACAATAACGTGGCTTTGTTCAATTGATTATATTCACTAGTTTTTGATAATCAACTAATCTGTATGTATAAGATAGTTTCAATCATTGGATACAAAAACATCTGTGGTAAAACTTTTATCAATATCATGACGTTAATTTTCAAATTTTCAATTTAACATTACTTTACTAGAATCTATAAATAATCAAAGAAATGTAGTATATCTTTACATAAATTAAAATTGCTATATATTTGGTTGAATGATATAATTATAGAGAATTACGATACAAAAAGATGTTGTACTGTTGAATAATATGAAGAAGAAAAAACTAATTATTATCTCAATCTCGTGGATTTATTACAGAAGCATTCGATTGATCATTTGTAGAAGCCATAACGAAGTGCTATTAGATGACTGGTAAGGATTATTTTTGTTTGCCATTGTGTTACGACTTCTCGTTTTCCAATATGTGTAATATGAAAGTACTTTTTCAATCTATTGTATTTTATTTCAGTGAAAAATAGACTAATCTAGTGTTTTTATTTACAAAATCGAAATTATTTATTCTCAAATAATAAATATATAGTTGATTTTCAGAAATTTGTTCGTCATTTTGAAAGTAAATCTAATAATCATTCAAATGTTTTGTATTTATCGTTGATCAAATATTCAGGCATAGAACCTTTTTATTCTCATCCACTTCTCTAGTGCTACCTATTCAAATCGCCATCAAATTCATTTTTTCCTTCATGTTAAATTTAAATTTGACTTTTTTTTTTTCAATAGAAGGTGAACTCAAACAAACAGTACCAACTATTATCGATATTGCTATTAATAAGTTACTTTTTCTATTTAATTCTGATCAATTAGAGTGCTTTGTTTTTTGATATACTCTGTTCAACAATGGGTTCAAAAGTATATTACTTGACTTTGAACTGTTAAAAACTGAGTATTCAAAATGATACTTGTTTTCTAGGATGAATATTCAAGATTCTTTTTTTTTTATGTTTCGCTCTAAAAATTTATTCTTTTATCGTTTCAGATTGATAAAACTTTTGTTTATTTTACAAGATTAAAAATTAAATAAGATTGATGATTTTACAGCATAATCATCCAAAATCACTTCTCTATATTATCATATATATTAGTCATTCATCTTCTATTAAAATCAAAAGTCAATTATCTTTCGGATAAGATAATTAAGTAATTATTTGAATCTTGATTTTGATATCGTCTCAATTGTATCTTAATAAATAATGGATGTAATCGTTTGATTACGTCCAATTCGTTTGATAAGAAATTATTTAATGGTATTTTTACTTTAAAATTAATCAAATGTGGTGCACGATGAGTCAATAAATGTGCAAATAAATCAAAGGGAAATTCCATATTTGTTTCATTTTGATCGATAAGAAGGGTCAAATTCTCTAAATTAGGTATATTTGCTAATAACCAATCAATGTGACTATACCATTCATGTCCTATTGAATAGAAATGAATATGAAGATGCCGAAGAGATGTATGTGAACAAATAAAATTGAAAGATAATTTAAAGGATATATTTCGAAGACGTATTATTCGTAAGTAAGTTAAATTTGGACATGCTTTAAATATTTGTCTATACATATTTGATTTCCATGTACAAGGTGAAACAGTTAGTTGTTGAAGTGATAATGAAGAATAAGAATGATAATCATTAAATGTCATTCGATCGATATGACATGTTCGTAAACGAGAAAATAAAGGAGAAAAAATAAAACGACATAATTGTTTAGAATTATTCGAAAAGAATAAATTTGATATATACAAATGTTCAAGATTAGGAAGAAGATATGGTTGAATAGCGTTACATTGATTTTCTGTTGGCATAGATAATTTTAACGAACGAATATTTGAATAACAAGAAAAATCAATCGGTTCATCATGTTTGATAATTAAATTTGATATATGTGAAGCAAAAAATGGAATAGTATGTTCTTTATTATCCCAATCTTCTTCAAGTATAAAATGAAGGTTTCGTAGAGAATCAATTATTGAATTAAAACGAAAATTTAGATTAGAAAATGTATTGTATAAATCATATGGAGAAATATATGCGAATAATTCTATGAATAATTCATTTGGAAACATTTCAATATTTGTAATTATACCATTCATTATTATGATATATGAATTATTATACATCTAATTTCATTGAAAGACTCACCAACAATAAATGAATTTTGGTTCAATTAGATGCATAAAAAAAAGAAAACAGCCAATATTTTCTATCTGAACAGATGCTGTCTATAAATAAACGTTCATATGTAATAATTGACAAGTGTTTGAAATTGATCAATTAGAGACAGGTTCAAAACTTTGTATTGCTACATCTGACATCAAAGAATATGCTTTTTTTTTTGTTAAAGAAAGAAAAATAAAAAACCGGTTCAACATGTGCACATGATCATTCATTCTATTCTTGTAATAAGGGTCAAACAGAAGAAGAAGAAAAAACATGTTGGTGACCGTTGCGAAGAACGACGAGAAGGAACAAAAAAAGAGCGCTGATGAACGACATATAGACAACTTACGCGTGTATATAGTCAACCACATACAACAAGTTACAACTATTCAATGCTTCAATTACGTAATGGGACCGATGAACGTTACGTATAATAAGAGCAGATGTGATAAATGTTATATAAAAAACGGTGAATATATACGAGTCCTCAATGCAATAGATATATATGAAAATAAATAAAGTTTATCCAACAAAAAATTTTATGATATAATACATCATATGTGATTGTATTATAAAAATTAATCTCACATTTTATTTTAAAATCATCATTGTAGATATAATGCTCGGATTATTTAGATTTATGTTCTTTTAGTTTGATTTATTAAAAAGATTTTGTTTTTTCTAATCGAGTTTTCATCATAATTTTAAAGTAAGCAAAATAAAAAAAAGAATTTATTATATTTAACAATCGTATATACGAAAACAGGTAGAATTTTATATAATAAAGATTTTAATGAGAATGGCAATTAATAATGCCATTACGAAAAGTATAAAAATACTTCTTCAAAATATTTCGGGACCACCTGACGTACATCTACGTTTAATTTATCCATGGTTTTGAAAGACTGTAGATCAAATAAATAATATCAATAATCAATAAACCTCTGCCAACAATAATGTTTGTTTTTCGCATTTGGATCTGTTGAATTTATTGGTGTATCATTTGTATCACCAAATCTTCCATCACTACATTCAATCAGAAGTATATTAAGACTAGTTTTTGTTAAAAATACAAAGGCTGGTTGATTAGATAAATGATCCTTCGTTTAACGATAATAATTATTATTATTATCGATAAATGATCCTTCATTTAATGATAATAATTATTATTATTATCCATTTCAAAAAAGAAGAACCGCGAGCATTTTTTAAGTAGCTTCGGTAGAAATAAGAGAGAGAGTTGCGGTTTTCTTTATTAGAAAAAAAGAGGAAGATTACGATGTATCGAGTTGTGTATTACTGATGTTTCTAATAAGTTTATTCTTAGAATTTTCAACCTAGCACTTTGGAAATCAGTGTATTATGGTGTCATCACAATGAATTTTCGATTTTCAAGACTGCGTTAGAACCACTAATTGAAAATCTATAAACTATGAAAGTCCCAGATTTTTTACTTTAATTGTTCAGGACTTATCGGCATTTTACTTTGAACTTTTACATAACTTTTCGAAAAAACTATGTGAAAATTTACTTTGTGAATTATATCCTAAAAGCTCGATTTTTTGAAAAAATTCAATACATCGTCATTTCTTCTCTTTCTAGTAGGGCAAAAGCATAGCCCTCTATTCCATTTCTATCAAAAATTTATTCAAAAAAAAAAATTTTCATGATTCTTCTCTTCTTGAAATGAATGATAGTTTTATTTTGTTTTTCTTTGTGTCTTTATTTTTAATAATAAATCTAAAATAAAAATTTCATTTAGAAATTAATTGAACTGCTTTCTTTCTTTTTTGCTGAAAAATATACCTATATAAAATAATTGTTTATAATTTTATTTAGAAGAGAAAAATAAGAACAAGTAGAATTTGTAACACTATAATGTTATTATACGCAGATTGACTTTAAAAAAAAACATGAATAATGGATCAATAAACATAATGATTGATGTTTATTATTCTTAAAATTGATTATATATTCAACTAAAACATACGAAAAATAATTTCGTCGTTTTTAGTTATCAGATAATATGAAATAAATTAGACAGTATTTACTGATAACATGAAAAAGCATCTTTTTCAAAATCGATTTTACTCTCCTGTATATCAATCGAGATGAAATAGAAAAATGAGTCAGTTGTATTTATGAAAATGTATCTTCAAAAGCCTAATATTTATAAAAGCTTTCTTTTCATAAGCTTTTATTGTAAAATACAGAATATCTTTTCAATTTTTGTTTTCAGTATTCTGTCCATAGTATATAGAAAACCTATCAATTAGATAATTGAGTATTGTTTTTTTCTTATTATTAACTTAGAAAGAAAATTCCATATATAAAACTAGATCTGTGACAGTTCGTGATCAAGAAACTGAATTGATAATCAATTCTTAGAACTATGAGCTGTCACAAATCTAATCTGAAAATGTACATTAAAATAAAAAAATAAAAAATGCTCAAATTTTGCATTTTCACCATCTTACATCAAAGAATAAAGAGAAATTTTCTTGCATCATCATTACTATGTGATCAAAAATCAGATAGTTTGAAATTGTGGAAATGAACACGAAGAACCCAATGTATTTACTTTGTATTTGTCATTGGGAGAACAAGCAACAATAATGGATGTGAAAAGAAGAAATGACAGAAAAATACGTTTCACTAGACACATGTGTCTAATAGTTTGTCTCGTATTCAATAGAAATTTTCCTTTTGTCTATCAACTAAATGTTGACAAATGTTTAGCGATGGTTAACGAGAATCTAGTTCTTGAAATGTTTCACTTAAAAGTTCAGTATTATACGAAGTGGAATAACGTTGAGAACGATATTTTAGTATGGCTAACAAGGATTAGAATGGAACTACATGACGCGTAGTATTTTTGTTAACATTGAAACAATTAAGATTAATAAAGAGCCATAAAGGTTATTAGTGAAAGAATGTACTACCGTCAGACCATCAAAATATCGATATTGAATTTCATATGTAACAAAAAATTGAAAATATAGGTATACTGATGTTATTGTCATTCTCATGATATTAAGTCGTTTGCTATGTGTCAAGTTCTACTTTCTCTTCTATTATATATACATTGTGTTTGAAAAGGCCGTCGCGACATATCAAAGCAGCAGGATACAGATAGACAAGATCAATGATTGGTCAAAGGAACACTAAGAATGTCGACATAAGATTACACAGAAAAGAAGATACAACAAAGGTTCCTCGCGCTACTTCCAACACCTATCGCTGCAACAAAAATCCAAATATCCTTTATAGGGTTGCAAAAACTGATCCAGCTAGCTTCATAAAACTAATTAAAAAAAACTCTTTTGTGATCATGTGAAATTTTTTGGCGTGAACGTAGAGGGAGTGTGTAATAAGGTAATTATAAGTGAACTATGACGCGAGAGAAACGTATCATTGTTTAGGTCGTGGTCGATTTGAATCGACGAAGAAAAAGAAACTTCTATTCCATTCGTCGAATATAATATGTAAAACAACGCATCATTCTCTGCATGTTAGACACGAAAAATAAATCTAAAACTGTTAGCCAATAAAGTACTACTTGATCTCTTCAATTTTTTTAAAGAATATTCATTTACTTCATGCCTTTCACAATCAAAATTCTCGCTTCAACGCCTTTCTCATCATCTATTTTCAAACAATAAGGGCTCAATCTTCGATCAATGCCTAAGCATGATTTCGACATTGTTGGTTGACAATATGTCAATCAAACTGTCGCATTTTGACTCTTAGAGAATGACAATACTCCACATTGCATCGATCTCTTTCTCTCGAATGATTTTACTTTTTGTCAACTCATTTGTTTACGATCATTTTCATTCTATCATATTTATTCGAATCAAACAATGACCGAAGTACTGTTACAATGCTCACAGATTTCTCATCGAATTCATCAATATTCTATCGAATATCTCTTATTATTCGACGATAAACAGTTTCTTAATATTTCTAATAACAACTAGACTTCTATCCATCCATACTCACCCATTGTTAACTAAACTTCAATGAGCGACAGGAGGACTGATTTTCCATTTATAAAGAGACCATATCTAAATCGATCGAACATTTGTTTATGAAATATATCATTTTGAATTATATCCGATTAGTAACACTATATTAATTCACATGAGATAGTCAATATTTGACAACTCTACCTGTCGGTTCGCCTAATAACAAACTACCTCAACTTACTATTCGATCTATCTCTTTACTGAAGGTATAGGTGTGAATATAGGTGGGATGTGAGGAAAAAGAAGCCGGTGCTTACACCTGCCAACAATCACAGCCACAGTCATACGCATATCTTACATCCACACCACCACACTCAATCCCGCAGTCACACTCACATCCTGTATCCACATGTAAGATCATCATAATACTTCTAGAATATTTTATTAATTTATCACTTTACATGCAATGATACAGATGAGCTCTATCAATCAGAAGATTTTCAAATCATTCTTTTGACAATAGAGTGTCGCTGATAATAGCGATATAAAAAGATAATGAGACATATAAATGACAAGCAAAATATTAATAATATGACAGGATAAAGAGTGTGCCCAGCGTTGTAAATAGCTTTAATTATTCGAGCATCTCGTCCATGCCAAGAATCGCCTCCTGCAAACCAAAGTAATAGAGGAGAGTAGACTTTATCTTCTATGGTGCGCACTGATACTGTTGGCGATGACCTAGTGAAAAGATGTTCATTGAAAGACAGGTAGAGAGGACCTGCACTGAGCATGACAGTAAGATAATACACTATATAGTTATGATTAAAAAGAGAAAGACGTGAAACAAGTTGACCTAACAACGGATGACCCATCGTCGAAACCATAAAATCATTTGAAAGTCCATTGGGTTTGGTTGCAGGAAAAGCAGCAAGATGTTTGGCCTGTGGATCGAGCGCTTCCAA